AATGTATTGGGATAGTTGGAGAGCGCCAACTAGATTCTGAGAATATGGCAGCAGAAAGCAGTCATGGTGAAGGAGTTCTTTGATTTTTCAACAAGAAAAATATAATCATGAAACTTGGGTTTGAGGGATTTTAACCTGGCACAATCAGACAGGTTAGGGTGGAACAGCAGAGACTAAATCTGTAAACCTAAGTAAGAGGTGGTTGCAATTACAGAACTGAAGTGACTGAGGAATAAGATTAAGGGGATAAGTGGTAGAAACACTGCATTAAAGAGATGCGGTAAGAAACATCTTAAATAAGATCAGAATTTGGGACAGAAAGTGGCCCCGTGGGAGATAATTAAGATTCTCACTTTTGTCGATTAAGCATTAAAGCATTTTCTTAATTTCAAATAATCATTATATATAAGCATATCTAATCTAAAAAGAATATGCAGAATAAGTAAATGTAGAAATCCATTCCAATGAATAAAAATACCTATTTGTATTACCTCTCAAGACATAAGAGCTGCTTAATGCCTGTATTGTAAATTTATTGCACCACATGAATGTACTAACTTGAAGCAGCAAGTTTTGCCCTATTCCCTCCAGATCAAAAGACTGCTCTCAAGAAGTCCCCAAAGATGTGAACTCTCTGGAGGAAATACCATGCACAGAGCTCCCAGAAGTGCACATTTGAGTACCATTAGCAAAGGAGGGATGGTTTGCCTCAAGTTTCATGGGAATATATAAGAATAAAGGTCATTGCTAAGGCAGCCAGGACTCAATCCACCCAGGGACCCAATGTCTGAAGTCAACACCTCCAATAAAATATGGAAACAAAATAAAGGATAATACAGATGGTAGCCTGCATTTACAATTTTCAGAAGGAGCTGAGCCACTGAAACCACTTATTAAAGTCAGCCACATATCACATCCTCGGAGGAAATCCAGCTTGAAGCCCAGGTAATACTGGCAAAAGAGACATCTGCAAAAATATGGTTTGAAATTTCATTATGAAAAGCAGGTGGGGAATAATTGCATGTCATCTCAAGCTAGATGTGGAATTATGATTGTAAAAGAGTGATTACTCAGATTTTTTTTTTTTAAATTTATTTGACAGACAGAGATCACAAGTAGGCAGAGAGGCAGACAGAGAGAGAGGGGGAAACAGGCTCCCTGCTGAGCAGAGAGCCCGATGTGGGGCTCAATCCCAGGACCCTGGGATCATGACCTGAGCCGAAGGCAGAGGCTTTAACCCACTGAGCCACCCAGGTGCCCCTCAGATTTTTTTTTAAAGGCTAATGTCCCCTTCTGAAGATTACACTGAGACCCTGACCAAAAATGCCAAGAGGAAAAATTATTCACACCATACAAAGCTTGCTATATTTCAGTGACCTTTAGAGCTGAGGACTCTCTCTGTACTTTACCTCAAGTCAATTTTTTTTTGCACAACCTGATGCCAAAAGAAGATATTCTCAATCAGGCTGAAGCTATGAAACAAACAAACAAAAAAAAACATTTAAAAAGCAACAAGGTTCTTAGAAGTCATTCTCAGTGATTATTCTAAAAGAGCTTGACACTCCATTACAATCTCTCTTGCCTTCAAGGGGTGTGTGTGTGTGTGTGTGTGTATACACAGAGCAATCTATCCCTTCAGCTGGGTAAGACACAGAACTCTATTTTAAAGTGTCTTGGATAGTTTTATGTTTATTTTCAAGAACAAAATTTATGGCCACATTTGTCCCCTGAATAAAAAGCATCTAATTTAGTTACCTTTCCCCACTGTCAACATTTTCTCTCACTATGAAAAGAGGTTTAACCATATAAAGGGAGTATGCTAATGTTATTTTTAAGGCTGAAGGGGGAAAAAAAAAAGGTAAATGTTGGGCTAGCCGTTGTAATTGTATATACTGACATTGTTTCAGACCGAAACTGGGCTTTTCCATTGATTTTTGGAGACAACCTAAAATTTCTAGGTTACTGAGATAGACCCACTATGACAACGAACCTTGGAAAGGAACCCTAGCCAAACTGTCACCTTCGCAGAGCAGAAGAAATAAAAAGGACTCCAGACCTCATTTACTAGCAAGAAATAATTTTTGAACATTTCCTATGGCTAACACTGCCATATACTGTAGACCACATCCAAGCTAGGAAGATATTGTCCTACTCCACTGGAGTTTATTATTTAATTTTCATCATTTTCTTAAGTCCAGAAAACAATAATCCTAAGTGCAGCCACAAGGCTAAGAGCTGTATAAATAACCCTAGCTCATTAGTAAAGCTGTGGCCCAGGTACCCAGGGGGAGACAGCTGAAAAAGGAACCATTCTCTTCCCCCCTGGCTCTCCCCAGCCTGCCTCCCCTAAATATAGAAATGTCTTGAATTTTATATCAAGCTTATTTTAATCGCTGATGAAAAAAAATCACATAATCAACTCCAAACTGATGACTAAACCTTCTGGGTTGCACAGCAAAGTAGAAGTTTATAGTTTTACACAATGCAGAAAATTGTATATAGCCCTGAAAATGTTGGTCAGTTTAATAACCTACTCAGAGTCCACAGTCTCTCATGGTTGGTATGAAAATCAACCGAGGGTTTTGGACAGGATGGGGGTGGGATGTTGGGTGAGCCTGGTGGTAGGTATTACGGAGAGTATGTATTGCATGGAGCACTGGGTGTGGTGCATAAACAATGAATTTTGGAACACTGAAAAGAAATAAAATAAAATGAAAAAAAAAAGTTAATAACCTACTTTGGAAGGCTGAGTAAAATGCATACTTTTTCAAAGGCCAGGTTATGTCCCCACGAAAAGGCTATGGGACATATTTACTTGAATGCAAATTAGATGAAGTGTCTTAGTTTATAATTGTTATGAAACATACAAGAATCTTGTATAGTCAAGGTACTAGGTATATTTGATTGTGACATGAAACAGTAGGCAAAAACAAATATATTTTAATTTTTGTTATTTTGCATTGCTGTCAGAGTGAACTCTGTGTTCAGGGATGGGGATAAATAAACGAAGCAGTGCAAATCTTGTTCCTTTGGGGCAGGCCTCTTGCATTGTAAAAATAATACCACATGATTTGCACGAAGCCTTGTGTACCTACCTCTCCACATCTCTGTGCTATCACAACATGGCTTTGGAGAGGTAAAATCCAGGAGTTTTGACTATGCTTATATATCTGCAGCCTAATATTGTGTGTGAAAAAGTAAACAAATCAGAAATATGTATTTAATTTGGAAGCCTAAAATTTCCTTCTTTTGTGAATATGCAAAACCCCACCTGTTCAAACTTTACATAAGTTCTCAAAAGAAGAACAGCACTGATACGTTGATGCGCTGACTGTATTCTATCATTTCCTGGCTAGGGCACATTCACAAATCTCAAAATATTCATTGAAAGATTTGCCTGCTGCCACAGGTAGCCAACCCTGTTTATAAAATTATATATTATATATCTACAAATAATGTATAGCATATATAATAATTACATAATTGAGATATATCTCAGTTGAGATTATATATCAATTATATATAATTCTACATATCTCAATTGTTATGTAATTATATATATCTCACATATATAATATATATGAATATATATGTATCTCTTAAGATTATATTATATATCAATTCTATATGATTATATATTTCAATTATTAATTATATATATCTCAACTGAGAGATATATGTCAATTACATAATTATTATATATAATGTATAAATATATCTCAACTACCTAACAAGTGCTTTTCTAAGCCTCAGATAAACAAAAAGTTGTACAAAATAATTCTTGCCCCCAACCTTGCAGATCTTCAAATGCATGGTATCTATTGGGATAGGTGAAAGGCAGGGAACATATACAGGCATATTTACTGTTCTTACTTTTCAGGAAGAGCCAAATTACTGACCATTTCAAAGAACACTGTTTTTTATTTCTTTGGTACCAAATCAATGAAAGTCCTTCCAGCTCAGCAGCTGTTGCTTAATGGCCCCAAAGAGTGAATGTACTGCCTAAATTGAACGCTGTTCAGTGTCTACACTAAGTGGGCCCTCAAGTAATGTTGATAGACTGGTTTTCTCACAAGCAGTAAAAGGTCAATTTTTAGAGACGGATCCTAGGAGACTAAAATCAATAATTTAAAAGCAGTGTGGGTGCGTCTGGGTGCCTCCGTGTATTTGGCTTCTGCCTTCAGCTCAGGTCATGGTCTCAGGGTCCTGGAATCGAGCCCCTATCGGGCTCTCTGCTTGGCAGGGAGCCTGCTTCCTCATCTCTCTCCACCTGCCTCTCTGTCTACTTGTGATCTCTGTCAAATAAATAAATAATATCTTAAAAAAATAAAAAGCAATGTGTGTTGAATTCTAGGTTTGTGGCAATACAAAAATATGTATAAATATAAGAACTGCATTCATTTGTTTCCATTTTTTAAAAAAACCTGTTTTGTAATTAATATGAAGATATTTCCAATAATTTTAAGTGATAATCAGAATACACAAGACTATAAATTTGGATGATTCAATATAAATATTCTGATAGTGATACTGGAATGATTATGAAGAATTTGAAGACTCAAATATCTGAAGATACAAGCTTGTTGATTAGTAATAACTTTAAATCACAGTAACAACGGTATGTTCTGATTGAACTGTTCCTTGCAGATTATCTTTAGTGTACAGATTTACACCACGTTCTACATTATTATACACTGTTCTTTAAGAAAGATGGGCAAGTTTTTGAAGATGTGCCATAAATGGTCATTAATTTGAAAGCATAATGAATTTCCTCTTTTGCCTCTAGCCATACAACCATGGGGTTGTATGGTTTTGCCCTGTGATCAGGTGACAGCTCTGAAAGCATCTCCTTAGGCAAAGCAGGGTCTCAGAGAGTGAGGGAATGGGTGGTTAGGAAGCTCTGCAGTGCACTGCTTCTGCATCTTCCCTTCAAGCCGGAGCTGTGCTCCACGTTGAAGAAAGCTCAGGCACATAAACTAACAAGTATCTACCACCACGAGATGGGGAGCGGAATTAGCTCAGAGAGCAAAGAGTCAGCCAAAAGATCCAAAGAACTGGAGAAAAAGCTTCAGGAAGATGCTGAACGAGATGCAAGAACTGTCAAGTTGCTGTTATTAGGTAATATTTTTTTCCCTATTGCTTTCAAAACCCCCATTTTTCTTTGCAATGAGGATGTATTTCTTTTCTCAAATTTTAATTTCAGGTAAATTACCATATAGGGGATTTATTATGAATATGTGCTTGGAAACTTAGAAAGATTTTATATGCCCTCTATAAATGTTTACTTTTCTTATTTAGTATTTTATTTTATTTTGCTTAAGCAGAGACAAATATTTATGAGATGATTCAATTCCTCTTTGTCAATAATACAATTTACTACAATTAAAGGAAAACTCATATCCATTTATTATTTTCTCCTACACTAATCATTTTCTGAACATCAGTTATTTAGTACTGAAAACAATCCTTTAATTACAAGTTATATAGAGTTACATTATTTTGTTTGAACAGAAATAACTATTGAGTTGTTTGATATCAAATTTAACATGTTATTTAATTACTTGTGCTGTAAAAACCAATTAGTATCAAGTTATTTAGAGAGTAAGGAATGATAAGTTACCTTAGATTACTAACATTGTTCAGGCTTTTGAATATTGCCTGTGCTACCATTTGTACACTTATAAGATACTCCACTGAAACTTTTTTAGGATATTTATATATTGATTCAGGTCAGGATTATGTTCCTTCTATCTTTTTACCCTTTTATTTTTTTTAATAGATTTTTCTTATTTATTTGACAGAGAGATCACAAGTAGGCAGAGAGGCAGGCAGAGTGGGAGAGGGAAGCAGGCTCCCTGCTGAGCAGAGAGCCGGATGTGGGGCTGGATCCCAGAACCCTGGGATCTTGACTTGAGCTGAAGGCAGAGGCTTAACCCATTGAGCCACCCAGGCGCCCCTCTTTTTACCCTTTTAAAACTCAGCACAACGTTTTACCACATTGCTAACTTAATGTTTAATGAATTGAAGGAAAGCTATATGCTGCACATTTTTTCTAAACCTAAAAAAATCTAACATGTAGTGGTCATGGCAAGATCAATTATGTTTTTGAAATAAAAATCAAGACCTTTAAAAAGAGATCAAAACAAGAACTTTAATTGGTACTATGTTCCTCCTGCTTAGTTACACACAAAAGGACTTCATTTTATTTTATTTTATTTTTTAAAGATTTTATTTATTTGACACGGAGAGAGAGAGAGTTAGAGAGCGAGAGCACAAGCAGGGGGCGCTGCAGGGGGAAAGGGAGAAGCAGGCTCCCTGCAAGGATCAGGACATGGGGTTCAATCCCAGAACCCTGGGATCACGGCCTAAGCCAAAGGCAGACACTTAACCAATTAAGCCACCCAGGCACCCACAAAAAGACTTCATTTTATTTCAGAATTGTGTATTGTTCACACAAAATACCCTCATTTTTTAAGTGCCTCCTTTCCTGTGTATAGTTTGCTCTCAGTGGCAAAAGTGTCTCAGAGATCAACTGTGGGATTCCTAGCACTTGCTCCGCAAAGAAAAGAAAATGTTCTCTCCCTTTATGCACAAGTTCTGTGGCTCACACCTGCCCACAGCACTTGCAAGTAACCACCTAGGGGTGAGTAACTTAGAAAGATGCTGGAGCCAACTCTTGCAACTGGAAATATTTTCCCCCTCACTCCAGAGCATTCTCTGAGGCTTTCTTTGATCAAGAGTAGAAGTAATGTGGACATAGAAAAAGCAAATAAAAGATAAGAAGGAAAGCCAAACATTCCTACAAGTGCATTCAGTGTCCCACTTGTACTAAGAACAGTGGTATAAGAGAAATGATAAAACAGATTTAAAAATCCCTATTTTTGAATAAAGTTTCAAAAGACTAGACCTATTCTCAATATGCCAGTTCTTTTTAGATTAAAGTGGTTGCGTTAGATCAAGAAATGAGGGTAACTTCTAGTACCAGAGATTAAAAAAGGATCATTAGTAGCATTATTTTACCTTTTACTTTTCCCAGACAATTTCATAAATTCAGTTCCAAAGATACCATACAATATGCTTGGATTTATTTGGTTCTGAAAATATGTGTACTGAACTTATTTACACAAGTGAATCAAATTCTCAAGTCTTCCTCTCCCAGTTTATTCCAAATGTTTGTCTAAGTTTTCCCTTCTGGACTCTTGAGTTCTATGCATGATCTTTCAATTTTCAAGTTCAAAACAATAAAGTCTTATAAAAACCCCACTTCGATCCTCCTTTTTTCACTTTAACTCAAATTCTCTAAACAGTATCTTTTTATTTGCAATATGGCCTCATTAAGACATACAAGCATTTAGTGGAACTAACCTAAACCTTCCCATCCTCCAACTCTCAAATCCCCTCACAAATGAAATCTACTTAACCTCTCCCATCATTGAAACAGTGATTACTAATGCATGTAGGTCACGTGGGACGGACTAGTTAGGCCTTGGTAGTGATCAGATTCTGATTCTAATTCAATTTCTGAAAAGATTCAGATTGAAAAATATTTTTGACAGAATTCATTCTTTATGCTGATCCTCTTATCTAATCAACTGTAGGTGCTTAAACACATTGACACAAGTTACAAATTTAACATGTGCTGTAAAGCAGATGTACCATTTTGTATTATTATGGGACATAAGGCTTCACTGAAATTAAAGAGCTATCTAATTGCTATTTTACAAATAAAGGAATACCTTGCAGACAGGTTCCCTCTTTATTATGCCTTTCAGACATTTAGTAAAATTACAGAAGAGATGCCAAATCTTTCTCCTTTGCAAAAAGCAGGCTTCTAGGAAACACTGGAGATGACTCAGACATTCCTAGCACATTTGAAAATTGCTGTAAGAATAATAATGCCATTTACCTTAAAAAAAAAAAAAAAAAAGCCTGTAAAGATTACCCAGAAAGAGTACATTTTAATAAGAAGAACAAATTCTAATGAATAACATGTTCTCTTTTGGAGAGTTCTTTTTTTTTTTCCTTTTGGAGGATTCTTAAGTTAGTTATTTCTTAAAGACTTAACTTCTAAATGTTTGATTAAATTTTATTACTACCCAAAAGAAACACCTGTCATTAAATTACAGAATCAGAGTGGATCATTTCCATTCTTTCTATGTCCCTTCTTTTCATATTTTACATTAATTTCTTTTGTACTTTTGTAGATTCAGAGCTTAATGGGAAGTATAAGGAAAAATTAACTTTGTTTTCGTATTTGGAACACTGTCACATTTACTCTATAATTTTCAGTTATGATATTATAATTAACTTTTAGCCATTGATTTCCAGCACTATCCTGTACTGTTCATCATTAATTTTCTTTTAGATCTAAACCCTTCTTTATTTATTTAATATCACAAAACTTTTTAATGGTGCCATTTGAGCTCTGTTTTAAAATATTATTGCAATCATCTGACTCTTAGGAATGTGAATTTGAACATCCAATATCTACTTTAAATGTGTTTGTATCTACTTAGGTAATCAACATTTTCAATTTTTTCAAAAGGTCCCATTTATTCAACAAGTGGATATTTTGGAAAGTATATCATTTTTCCAATATGACAGTGGGAGAATTATGATAATTTTGACACTGTTTAAAAGCTTATTACAAAATAATTGGTAAAACAAAATCTGCACAGCAGAATTGACTAAATAGGTTTATCCACCTGGAAGAGTGGAGACTATAATTCAAAACATGTAGAGTATAATGTATTTTTAAGCCATTTGAGATAAAAATAATTGATTTAATGCTTTCATTATAATGTGCTTTTAAACATCTCTGAGTCACCTCAGGCTAGCCACATAACATCAGAGAAATGGTGGATGTCAAAGTATTTTATAAACTGCAAAAATCCAGACAAATATGATGTATTTTTGTTGTGTAATAGATTTGCAAAACTGAAATAAATTAAATGTTTATAAACGTATACAATTTTTCTTCCTTTGTTTTCCTGTTATGTATACCTAAGAGAAAAGAAGACAGAAACTCAGGTTAAAGCAAAGTTCTTACTTTTATTCTTTTTTTGAAAAGTAGGTCTTTATTTTTATTTTTTTTTTAAATATCTTTAAATATGAGTGGGAAAGTATGCAGGAAACTGGATGTGTTTCTGTCACTGGCTAGATTATGAATTCATCAAATGTAAGAAATTCTATTTTGAATTTCCATTATACCAAGAATCAATGCCTGACAATGGATGTGATCAGACAATGAGATTCCCCCGGAATAATTACTTCGGGATTAACCAATCAATTTCTTTCTGATCACTAGTGATAAGTGAATAGCATGTAAGACATATTCCTAAATGTTTTCAATTATTTTGGTTTTATTTATTCAAATTAAAGCCACCCTTTCCTTGCTCTAATAATGTATTTTTGTTTTAAAATATTGTAAAATAATTTTATGTTTCTAAAGATATCCAATCTTGTGGATGCACAAATATATTTAATGCAAATGTTCAAAACTGATTTTCAGGAGAGAGAAAACAGGCAGAGAAGTCTACTTGGAGAGTTTCAAATTTTGTCAAAAATGCAATGAACTGTTTGCATCATAACAATATGAAAGTTCCAAAATCAAACCCAAATATTTATAATATTGTATTTATTTACCAAGAATGGCAGATGGCAGTATCAAACAGCTCTCTATAATGTCTCTTTTCCAACAGGCAAAAAGTGCTTAAACAAATGTTTTGCATATATTTGGTTGTTTAAGTTAATTTATCTTAAATAAGCAGTTGAACTTATACATAGACTCAAGTCTTTCACATAAAACATGCAAACCATGTATTAAGGTATTCCATATTTAGCCAAACAACGATATTTGCTAATGAGATTAAATCTTCTGGAAAAGACTCTTGTTAACTCTGATTTATAACAGAACCTCTCTAGTAATACCACAGAACTTTTCTGTATTCACTTTTTTTCATTCAGACTCTGAATTACTGATTTGAGAGCAAGCGACACCATACCTTTAAAAACACTTATAGAAGCATGATGAGCAGCCAACAAAAAGTTATTCACTCCTCCAAACTGTTAGAGAGATAGGAGGGTAGTGAACATTTGAGAGCATAATGACTCTGTGA